TGACGAAGCCTTCAACGGCTCGTGGGCCACAAAGACCAACTGGTTTTTTCATGCTGTTAAGCATATATAGATTGTTTTACTCATTAGTTTTAGTACGAGTTAGTCGCTAGCTGACCAGGCATTACGGTTGTATCAATATATTATGAATTATTTAAGAACGTTATGCTTTTGTCGGTCTTCTATGAAGTACTGATATTTGTTTGAGTTAGATATTTTTTCGTAGTAATTTGCTCAATAAACATTGTGATCTTGACTTTGTCATCTTAAGACTTTGAATAATGCATATCGATTGTTTTTCTTCTCTCATTTTACAATCGAAGCCTTTGGAAATGTGAGATTTCCTTACTCGTTATTGTTTGATCGTTGAAGTTTTGTTTTTGCTTTGTTGTTTTTCAGCCACCACCTCGTTGATAACCTCTAACTTTTTTGAAAGCTACAAATTTCTTCCTCCATTTACGCCATTTTTACTTCTCTGCCAGATTTTTCCTTTCCTTTCCCTCTATGTTGATGTAAGCATTTTTCCAGTTATGTTTAGTGTTGTGACGAGTTAAGAGAAAAACTATGCTGCTTATTCATACGGGTCTGTTTTAGTTTGCTTATGTGTTATGTACTCATGAAGTTATAAACGCTATTCTCCATCTAACTTTGACGTTTTAGTTTACGCAATTCAGTGTTTATTAATAGAGACAAAGATTCTTTGAAAATCTTGTAGTGAAGAGTTGACAAAGATTTATGAAAATGGATAAGGACTTCAGCTACCATCAACTTTACGAATAAAAGTTGAAATGTTAAAATAAGACTTAAGGAGCGTTTGGTTGAAAGGTATAGATCTTTTCACCACAGCGAATTCCAAGCTGTCAAACCAGGTTCCTTAAAGTTCTAATCTGAAAAAAAAGTGGTTTCAAGGAAATATTTCATTATCTTAAAGAAAGCAGAATATAAAAACCGTAACAAGGATGTAAGTAGTTTTTACTCCAGTTGTTTAGTATCCCTTTGTAGCCTACACAGGTACTTTCAGTATTATGTTTTTTTACAACTCCATGGATTCCATCAAACCTCTTCCTTTGCAATGAAAAGCATTAGCTCTATGGTTGTGCAGAAGTAAATGAATGTTATGCAAGAACATCGAAGATGCACTGAGAAGACAAAAAATATCTCGTTTTATGCCCACTTTTTCAAAATTGATAAGTTAGATATCTCCCTCACATCAAAATATCAGTCACGGATATCATGTGAAATCTGAGTGAGAACTCGACATTCTTCTCTACTATTGAATTTTGAATTTATGTATTTTTTCACAACTACTTCTTCACCTTGGATTGTTAAAGTCACTGTTTTCTCAACGAGTCGTTGCGGGCTTTTTGATAGTGGAATTAATTGAAATCAGAGTACATTGAAATGAAGACTGATTTTTCGACGATAACGCTTATTTGAGAGCAAGTAAAAATGGCACGCGATCCACTTAGATGAATTTTTTATTACCTTTTTCGAAAAACGTTATGAACATTTATTGGTTCGCACAGTAAACAGCTTTTCTTGAAACGCTCCCGATTTTTTAAAAGTCTTCCAAAAATTTAATGGAGACAAGCCTTGCATAGGGTAGAAATGTGCCTGAGTGAGGTCACGAAAAATTTGTTCAAGACATGGTGGAAGTCAAGCGTGACCTCAAGACAATCATCCTTCCAGTTCATTTTTGGATTTTTGTCGTTTATCCAAGGAGCTCCTAGAGTTTCCGGCAGATGTTCTGAATTTCATTGCAACGATACTGACTTCTGCATCCAAGTTTTGCCCCATTTGCTTTTGTGCACCATAAATGTCTAAATGAATGTTATGTTTGATATTTTCGTTATTATTTGAACCAACTTGTCATGTGGTCTGGTAAGGGCTCTTGTACAGCCCGATACACGTGTTTCGTTCTTACAGATTCGTCAGTAGGGCAGAACCCGTCGTCTTTCGATATTTTATTGTCAGTTCTCTCTATATAGACAACGACTGAACGATGGAATTAATCCATATGAACAATAACCTGGGATATATATATATATATATATATATATATATATATATATCATTATAATGGTAACATAACAATAACGTGCACATCATGGCAGCGTATCGATCATTGTCCCGACAACAAGAGACTGCTAAGGCAGGATACCGAAGGTGGGAAGCAGTGGGTGATTATATGTTAGGAAGACCAGGTACGAATATATGTATATAGGGTTGGAACCCCTGCCCCAATGGCGGGTCAAACAGAACCTATTTGGAGTTGGCCCGTCGCTGTCGAAATCTTCAAAGCTGCCGCCGCGATAGGGCTCTTGAGAATTCGTCCATGGGATCGTCCTACCATTGCGTAGAGAAGTAGCAACGGATCAGTGAAGCAGTTGCCACAGACTTAAACATGTAGAGTAATCGAACTTTGAAAAAAATGATAACGATGACATTTCTATCTCGTGGAAAGGGCCAGAAAAGACGAGATGAAAGTTTTGAAAAGATGTAACACATAGATCCAAAATTGGTGAAAAGTTGATTTTTCTTTATAAACGCTAGACCACTTGTTGCACACTGGTAAAAGAGCTCAGCTCCAAAACACTTGTTCAGCCATCACATCAAACAAACTTCGCGCTAATTAGCTAGCTTTTTGAGGGAGCAATAGTACGCGGATAATTATTGATAACTAAGCTGTCGCAGTTGATAAAACAAGCAATGATAGCGATTCATGTTCGCTCTCAACTCGCTCTCTTTGTGCTTCACTTCGGCTCCTGCAAATCGCTTTCTTTCTAAGACGAATATAACTGAATTATCCAAGACAAGTAACCGTCTTCTTATTGATTTTGTAATTCCTTAGTGCCGTTTATGGTTATTACCGCCATTTCTATACTTCGTCGTTATAATAAAGTACTCGTGCACATAAAGGTTTGAATATTTGGGTCTGATGCATCTACTAGAGAGCCCGCGTGACAAACTATATTCTCAACGCAACATATTCTAATGTATCACCACAACATGAATTCAGAATGTGGAATCCAGTCTGGCGGCGTTACTACATCTCTTGCCTTCCAGCGAACTTTACATCGTGTTTCCCAAGATTTCTTTCGCATTTAGCACTTTTGTTGATTTACTGTTATTTATCTGAGGAAAACGATCAATCAACACTATAATCACCATTGTGACCAATGAAATGCAGCCATTTTCTAGAAGAAGATTGCATGCTCTCCTCCCGGAAAGAATGAAGTCGGCGATTAAAGAAGTCGGTGAGGTCACTTATGAGCTGGTAGTTGTCATTAGATATTTCTTATTCTTTTTACTTCACTTTTTTTTGCAGTGTTATAACACCTCAAATACTCCTAAGAGAATTGAGTAGTAAGCGAAAATACGACTTCAGACGGAAGATGAACAAGCTTTCATCTAAAGCGAGGGCACGTGCTGCCGCTGCACCAACTAAGCCACCGCTTACTCACTACTCATTTTTCAATATCTTTCTATCACAGATATCACCCATTAAGCATTAGCACATTGATCGGTTTAGCAATATCGCGCGGTAAGCCCAGTCAAGCTAACAGCTGACACTGTCAGTCTGAAAATCAAGCTGAAAGCTGACACTGTACATATCATTCTCTAACATCTTTCTATCATAGTCATCAGTCGCCAACCGTTAACAAGTTTGGTTGGGAAAGCGATATCTATATAGGCCCAGTTAAGCTGACAGGCATTGGATTCTCATCCTTCAGTATCCTCCTATCATAGCTATGTGTGACGAGTAAGCGGCGGGTAGCACGCGCCTTCGCCATGGATGAAACACAAGTTCAACTCCTTTCTGAGGTCGAATTTCCGCTCACCACTCAGATATCTTGAGAATATCTGAAATATCATAACAATGCGAAAAAACAGTGAAAACAAAGAAGTCTTGGAGTTATATATGTGCAATGGCTGTCAGGTTGACTGGGTTTATAGAGCGATATTGCTTACCCGACCAAACCTGTAGTGGTTGGTGGCTGATAGCTGTGACAGAAACATATCAAATAATGAGTGGTGAGTAATCGGTGGCCTCGGTGGCGTAGTGGTAGGTGTAGTGGTGGCACGCGTCCCCGATATGGATGGGTTGCGGTATCAAGCCTCTTCTCAGGTCGAACTTACTTACCACTTGATTCTCTTCGAAACATGTGAGTCTCTAAATATTTTTGCTCCACAAATACTGCTTCGGAGTGCGGGAGATATGGTAGGCCGAAAGAACTGTATCAGAACCAAACGGTGGATGTCGTAGCGTCATCCAGTCCACTTTCTTCAAAACGTGGCGAGTCTCCTTGCAATGTGTGCTTGAAAGTTTTCTTTTGCAGAAGAACGATAATGGGTCGTTTCAGACGCTTCTCTCTTAGTGCTAAGGCTAATTTTCAAATTTGTTCTTCATAGACTTCAACGTTGATTGCTCTGCTTGATGCCGAGCAGTTTCCAGAAGAGCATCTTCTATCGATGCCCGAAAATGAGAGCATAATATTCCAAACATGAAACGTGAGCTTTGTGATAAGGTGGCGTTGCTTACCGCGAGGCAGCCAGTAGGCATGGCGCTTGTTGCTCTCGTTGTAGATCCAGAATTCTTATGAATTAATGACCAACTTGACAACATCTTGCTTGTGCCAGAAGACTATAACAGATGGATACGCGAGCAACACGGTCGTAGTCGATCAATGCAAGAGATATCCATCGAGAAATCACTTTGCGGTAGACAGTCTCAATCGGATAGTGTGGGATGGTGCTGCAGCCGCATCCGAGTGTAATTAGAACATTCTTTGACATTGCACACCCTTTCGGCATTAAATCGATTGAATTGGAAAAATTAAATGAAGCATTAGCCCGAAACTTGTAGGGTAACTCGATAGAAAAGGCTAATATCTGATTCATGTCTGAGGATCGAACTTTTTTCCTTTTTACTCTGCATATACTCATTGCTTTGAGACTCATTCATTATATTCCTGAGAGAACTGAGTCGTGAACAAAAACACGGCCTCAGGCGGGAACCGAACCCGCGTTTTATCCTATCTGGAAAGCGTGCTCTACCACCACACCCCAGAGGCCCATTTCCGCCACCATTCATTCTCCAACATCACTATGTTGGCTAACTCATAACACTGCGAAAATGCAGTAAAATACTAAAATCTCGAATACTTATATATTAGTTATTAATGCCGAGGTTCATAGAAAGTCGAGCTCTCAAACTTACTAGCATCATACTAGCTACTCTTCATCGCCGGATATATCAAAACATCATACCATCGCTAAAGGCAGTCGAATACAAAGAGCCTGAAAGATAGAAAGTATGCACATTTTTTAAGAGATCCTTTGATTATTATTTGAGCCAACTTGTCATGTAGTCTGGTATGGGCTCTTGTACAGCCCGATACACGTGTTTCGTTCTTACAGACTCGTCTCAGCCGGGCAGAACCCAAAGCACTCGAAGTAAAGGTACAATGTGATAAAAATACCAGCCAAAGAGCAATCGAGTGCGCAACACTCTGTGTTAGGTGAAAATTTGGCTTGACATAGAGTGTAAAACGTCATGTTCGATGACTCTCTGTAAGGGAATAGAATTTCCTAGGGAACTGACTATGAAAATATCAAAAACGACGGGTTTTGACCGGTTGAGTCTGTAGGAACGAAACACGTGTCTCGGGCTGTACAAGAGCCCTTACTAGACCACATGACAAGTTGGCTCAAATTATAATGAAAGAATCTATTAAAATTTGATTGTAGTCTTAATGAAGCACTCGAAATAAAAGTATAATATGTTATGTTTGACGTTTTCTTTTCCAAGAAGGTGCTCGTATATAACAACACAGAGTGGTCCACCCATACTGCCAATGTGTTTGCCCCGCATGCCTTACAATCGGCATCTCTACTGTTCGTGCAATTTTTCGTTTCGCATAGGCGATCATATCTACGATTACGGACTTGCTAAGTCCTCAGAGTGTTCAGTGGTATCTCAACCGCTGCTACCAATCGTTAAAACTAACTCTTTTGAGGAGCCTTTGCTACTTGTGGTCACTTTATTAGAAATAAAGAGCGCAATGAATGGGACTTTATACCCACTAAAATTATCGTCGTGGGTCGTAGTTCCTCATTCTAAATCTAAACGCGAAGCGCGCGGAAATATAGCCAACCGAAATGACTATTTCTTGCACCAAGTTCAAGAGTTACTTCTGCTGTCTTCTTGTGTGCACCTTGGTGATGTTCGAAATATATCCTTAACAAGTGTGAGTTTTGTGTGCTGGATGAGAGGAAAGCTAGTGAAGCAGTTTGCTTCATTTCTTGGTCTTCGGTACCGCTTTGTATTGTAGGCGCTTTCGGATAAGTTGAACGTTCGCGAAGAGGTGCCAGTTTGCCCCCGATTTCTACTGGGCTAATTTAGTGTAATCTGACTGACAATTTAACAATAAAAATATCCTCTTCTGTGTAACAGGTAACCAGACAGTCATCTATATATATACAACAGGGTAGTAGTCGATGATCTACTATCGAGCTTAGACTTTGGACATAAGGAATGCAAAAAGTTCGGAGTCAATCACTTCGGATCTTTTTTAGAATCCTGCCGCATTTGAGCTTAGGCTTAGGCTTAGGCCTAATTGGTAATGATTTGACTTATACGTTTAGATAGTAAGAATGAAGACATTTGACAACAGCATTATCTGATTTTTATTATAAAATATAATATTTAAAAATGCGGTAGGATTCTAGCAAAGGATGTTTAAAAATGCTGCGCCATTTGAGTCCTTTGGTAAATATGGAATTTTTTGCTTTAGCAAAACGTTTTTGTAATTTATCGATAACTCAAATTAAGTGAATTTCAATGGCATGTTTAATTTCTCAAATAGCTTATTTTTGGCGCCGTACCAGTCAAAATAAGATTTTGTCTCTCATTCGAAGATTTTCACTGGTAAAAGTTTTGTTGCAATGATTTTTTAATCGTTAAAAAGAAAAAATCTTTCCAATTGTAATGGTATATTTGGCTTTCGGAAAGGACTTCTTTGAGCTTTTTAACAACCGAAAGAATATTGGGTTTCACACTCACTGAGCACTTCTAGTCGACTAGGGTGCGAATCGCAAGCTCTAAGAAGTTCTTTCTTTAAAACAAACACATTTTCTTAATCAGAAAGATTTGCTCTCTAATGGTGAAAATTTTGTTATGAAAACTTCTATCAGGCAAGAAATCTTTTAATGTGGAACAAAACCTCGTTTTGACTGGTGCGGTGTCAAAAACAATCAATATGAGAAATAAGATATATCTTCGAAATTCACTTGATTTAAGCTATCAGATAGTTATGCATTAGTCAGATAACAGCAAAGAATACGCTTTTACGGAGGGTCTCAACTGGCGCTGCCATAACAAAACAGTAGCGAAAATGCGGCAGGATTCTAGAAAAGATCCACCTTGTCACCTGCGCGAAATGATTTTTAATTGAGAAGTTCAAACAAGCCTTCAAGAGGCTTGTTGAGATAAACCATACATGTTTGTAGTTCTTTCGTGTTCCGTGAGGAACTCTTGGTGCGGTTCTAGCGAAGTAATCGCACATATTTGCCGAAGAGAGGGTCACGTCGTAGGATTCCGTCAAGTAAAATCGGTCGAAAGACGCATTGCGCAGACGCTCCTATAAAATTTGAGCGTGGGCTGGGATGTGCTATTGCTTCCGCGGTAGTATTCACTTTTTCAAAGAAAATTTCTCAACAAGTTATTAAATTGTGGGCCCGTTTCCTCAGTTGATAATAGGTTCCCATCTTGAACCTGGAAGTATATTACAAGGATGGCATCACGAGCACACATGTGACTCTCATTTAACAGAAAGATTGGCCTATGCTGATAGCTGACAGGTAGTAAATCAGTCGCTGTCTACCACTTACTCAAAGCAGATTTATTCTTGTATGATAAAGTGCACATTGAAGCACCATCTGAATGGAGCATCTAAAAGCTTCATTCTTTTTTTTCGAACAGTTTCCTGAGCATAATATGCTCTGCTAGTTTCTTTTCAAAAATCAATTGAAAAAGTGCTTCACAAATTATTGGCACCACAAATCTTCACATGTGCCAAAACAAATAAACACTGTGAATGCGTGCTTGTAATAATATCGTTATGCATGCTCTCACAATGGGAGAATTGTTGGAAAGAACACTGCTTCAAAAGTCAATTAGTTTTTCGTTGAGCAATAAAATGCAAAAAACAGCGTTTATTTACGTAAACATATTCCGACAGCAATAAAGTAGTAGTTTGCGCGAACTCGTGTTCCTTGTAAGTGACTGTATTAGTCAGAAGTTTTCAAAAAGCCTTCGATCACTCGAATTATTCTCACCCGAAATTTCCATGTTTGGCATTTCTCCAGTGCCGGCTGATATTTGCCTACTTAGGACAGTAGAGTTTGAGGGTACAATGAGAATTCTGTGAAGAAATTTTTCACAGTTCAGCAATTCATCCAGAACAACACAGAATTGTTACAACCCCGAAATGATCTTTAAGCGCATATTGAGAAAAATTTTAACGAGGCGGACGACTCCACAGCACTGACGATGGCTTCAACTTGTCTTCCACAAAGTAGGCAGAACAAAATTTGTTACATTCCGAGCCCTAGAACTAGTCCAACGTATTGGCAGTAAGTAAAATCTTTGGCCTCACAAGCCGATCATTTCTGTAATTTGACTGACATATGAGGTCTCCAACTATGTTTCCGAACTTCATCTATAAAATGAAAATTTTCCCACAAAAGCAAATTTTTCTTTTGCCTATTTTTGTGCAGAATTTTCTTGCGTATCGTTTGATATTTTTTTTGCACATACTTGTCCAACAATGGAGTCGTCATGGGAAGTTATTCGCAACTTGCTACTTTACGAGTTTCAGTTGGGGCACAATTTTCATACTGCATATGACAACATCAATCGTACAAAAGGCCGCCAAGTTGTAGGCAGAATTACGGCGTATGAATGGTTCACAAAGTTTTGCAATAGCGATACCGATTAGGCCGATCAACAAGATCTGGGAGACGGTGTGATTAATTAATCGATAGCAATCCTATGAAGCGATTGAAGAAGATCCGACTTTGTCAAGCGGTGACTTGACCGATGATTTCCAACGTTCAGGCAAGCAGATGTGGAAGATTTCGAATGATCCAGACAAGAAATGGCGCTTAATACTTCAACTAATGTTATTTGATACTTTCAATTACTTGGAATAATAATTTGCAACTTTATGGATCAAGTTCGGAAACACAATTGGAGACCTAATAGTTGAAGAAGTGCTTAAGATCACCATTTCTTCGCCTGAGGTACATCCGTAATAAAATAGCTTTTTGAAATCCGATATCCAAGTGCCCAGTTCATTCTAAAGAAGAGTCTTGCGCTGCTTCCTCAGAAGCACCGTTTGGTTTCTAAAGAATCGCTGGCCTTCAAAATTACAAAGTGGTGCTTATCACAAAGCATTTTCCCTGCGCATCGTTGAGAAATAGAAGAAACTGATGGCGTTCAACAGTAATCCACCTTTATTGAAAGCTCGGAGCTTTCAAGAAGGTAGTAAAGGAAGTATCTGCTCATTGCCATCTCGATCTTGATGTTAGGAACATCCACTTCAACTTCTTCATCATTTTCGGAAATCCAGCAGAGTGAAGGATTATTTTGCTTCACGTTGAAAGTTGATATCTATCTCATTGCATTTGGAAAATGGAAAATCATGGAAAAATCACGCGAAATTTCACATTTCACTTTTTTTTATCAAGGGTCTTCTGACGCCATCTTTCCTCCTTATGTTTTTCGCTCCTTGAGTGAAATCATGCGAATCCTGTTTTTTTTTGCTTAAGTGACATTCTGCTGACAACCGTCGCCATCAAACAGGAGCGTTCGTAAGTGTACCATGGTGGACAGCTTGATAATACTTTCAAAGTACTCGGAGGAATACACCAATGAGAGCGTCAAAGGCTGACAAAGGTAATTTCTGCTTTAGGAACATGCTACCAACATTATTATTCATCGGAATTTGTGCTTCGTTTCAGTCAGCCAGCTTCTCTGTCAACAATTTCTCTCGAAACGCATTTATGGCAG